GAGGGCGCCGCCGCGCCCCCGGCCGGTCCGGCTCGTCCCGCCGCGCTGCCCGAGCTCTCCCTCGCGGGCAGGAATTGGCCTCATCAGGGAAAACTGAAATGGAGCCTTTGCTATAAATACCGCTAATCCTCCGGGCTGGGGGGAGCACAGCCCAGCCGGGGGCCGGTGGCACAACAGCGCCCAGGGAAGCAGCACGCCAGAAATTAATTTAAATCCCAGCACTTCAGCCAGCTGGAGAAATCCCGGGAGGCTCCAGCAGATGCTCCTGCACCTCCTCTGCTCAGGGGTGCCCCAAATGCTTCAATGTTAGAGGCTTTGTCCCCAGAGCAGCGTCCTGCCGGCCCCGCGTCCCGCTCTGCCCCCCCAGCTGCCGGTGCAGCCCCAAGAGTGCAGGATGGGGGGGGTCCTGCTGCACCCCAGGGCACAGCAAAGCCCCCCAAGTCCTAGGAGGGGTGTGGGGAGCCCTGATGCCCCCAGTCACAGCATCCTGAGCCGCTGGCAGCACCACGGGGGGGGCAGCACGGACAGAGCCCCCCAGCTCCATCTCTGTGCTGTGGCTGCTGCTGGGCCCTGCCCAGGCATGGGGCAGAGCAGGGCACCAGGGCTGTCACCTTCCAGCCTTGGGACTTCTCTTTTGGGCTACACTTCCACCCCAACCACTTTCTGGTCCTAGGTTGGATCTTGGGAACAATTCCTTCCTGGCAAGGGTTGTCAGGCCCTGGCCCAGGCTGCCCAGGGTGGAGTCCCCATCCCTGGAGGGGTTTCCAAGCCCTGGAGATGGTGCTGAGGGACCTGGGGCAGTGGTGGCCTTGGCAGGGCTGGGGGAACAGTTGGGACTGGATGATCTTCAAGGTCTTTTCCATCCAAAACAATTTATGATTTTATGATTAAATCTTGTTGGTGTCAACTGCCCTGTCCCTGGCACAAGCTGAGCAGCAGGAAAGGGGCAGCTCCATCAGCTTGCAGCTCTCCAACATCTAATGAACCTGCTGGTGATGGGAACAGCAGCTCCACTTCTCACCTTCTCCAAGCACAAAATCAATCTCACACCTCAGCAATCACAGAACAGGGCCTGCAGCCACCACAGAGCAGACATCCCACCCTAGTCAGAGGTGGGGAAAGGAACCAGCAGAACCCTGCCCTGTCCCTTCAGGCTCCCTTTAAGCCCTCAGAGAGCTCAATTCTGGGCCATGAGCCCCTGCTTAAGTCAAGAGGCTTCATTCCCAGCTGCCACAGTTCTCCACAGATCATTCATCGTTTAGGGAACAATAATTCACCCCAGTTCCTCCCCAAACCCCACCCAGCTCTGTCCAGGTCCCCTCTTTCACTGCAGGAATTCCCACACCCATGGCACAGAACTTTTTTTTTTCTTTTATTAATAATGTGGAATGTCACACTGGTCCTGCTGGCTCTTGTGCCATGTCCCAGCCCAAGAGGTTGCCAGGGACCTTCCAGCAGAGACACCTAAAACCAGCCAGTCAGCTTTTTTTTTGTTGTTGTTGGTTTTTTGGGTTTTTTTTCTTAAAAGAGAAAATTTGCTTCAAAACCTGCCAGAGGGATCTACAGTGCACGGTCCAAAAGGCTGCAGTCCAAGAACCCCTCCGATTTCTTGTACTTTCTTTTTTTTTTAAAAAAAAAAAAAGAGGAGATGAAAAGATAAAAGCCAACAGGGACTGAGCCTGTCCCAGCTTAAAAAAGAGACAGTAACTTTTCATGCACGTTTTTAAAAGAGAAAGGGCAGGGTCTCAGAGTAACAAGACCAGAGAGATGGCAGCCAAGCCTGCAGGGGAAACTGCTGCACTCTCCTGGTTCAACTTCAAAACAAAGGTGGTGAAAGGAGGAGGAAAATGTCCCTGCACACACCTGTGCACACTCACCCCCCACCCCATGCAGGGCGTCTCATTATGCATCAGGGATGGAGAAATTATCTTCCTCTTGAGGTTTGCGGATCCAGCTGCCGTAGCCCAGCTCTTCCAGGCTACTGAAGAAGTTCTGCTTGGCCTCCTGGTACATCCTGGCTGCCTCCTTAGCATCCGAGTACACTGAGAGGTGCTGCAGGTCTGTGCAGTTGTTCTTGGCACACAACTGCTGGAACAGGGCGAACATTTTCCTCTTGGACACACGAGACACCTCCAGCTTTGGGCTGGGAGGGGAAGACAAAAGGCAGTGGTGAAGGACATGACATTCAGAAGAGCAGAGGAGCAGGGGGCTCAGGGAAACACCCACAGTGGAGTTCCTGGGAGGTCTCTTGGCTCAGAGGAGCTCTGCTAGAGGCGCTGGGCAGTGTTTTGTCCTGCTTTGGGAGCACTGGCCTACATTGCTCTCAAATCCCTCTCTCCAACCTCCCCAAGGTGCTGTAAGAGCACAGTGTGCTCCTGACTCCAGAGCTGCCCCCCCTCTCCCCGGAGAGAAAAGCAGAGTCAGGAAAGGCTCTTCTTACCCATCTACTTTCCCTTTTGTGCCATCCAAGACTTCCACTTCGCTTTCATCAGCAAGACACCAGTTCACTGAAGACTCCTTCGTCTTGCCCGTCTGCCGCGCCGAGTCGTACACGCTGACCCGCCCGACCTGCGCCAGAGGCAAGAGGGTTCCTGACCCCATCCTGCTGCACCAGGGGAGCCTCTTCCCAGGGGAGGGGGCACATGGCTCCCACCATCCCCTGAGGCAGAATCTAATGTTAATTTCCTCCCCCAAGACGTTTGGGTGCTTTAAACCTCAGTTACCCCCAACTCCAAATCTCCAGCTGCTGCTCCTGAGGGAGACACGCTTGGTCTGTTATCTGGGACATGGGAAATCCAAGGAGTTTCCATCCCCTGCAGGCAGGGGTTCAGTTGGTCTAGTGGGAAGTGTCCCTGCCAATGCAGGAGAGTTGGATCTAGATGATGCTTAAGGGCCCTTCCAACCCAAACCACTCCATGATTCTATGAAATTCTTAAGAGGACCAAGCACTGGGTTCTTACTGAGATGGAGGCTACAGGAGTGACCTCGGACACTGCCAGTAACCCCAGGCACTGTGGTTCTGGTTGGAAAAGACCTTTGAATCCATCCATTAACCTACCTCTACCTTGTCCATGCCCCTCAGCACCACATCTACAGAGCTTTGAAACACCTCCAGGGATGGGGATTCAACCACTTTCCTGGGCAGCCTGTGTCAGTGTTTAATTACCCTTTCAGTTAAGAAGTTTCTCCTAATGTCCAATCTCAGCCTCTCCTGGGAAACTTGAGGCCCTTTCCTCTTGTCCCATCACTGGGGAGCAGAGCCTGACCCCCCTGGCTCCAACCTCCTCTCAGGCAGCTGCAGAGCCAGCAGGTCTCCCCTCAGTCTCCTGGTCTCCAGGCTGGACACCCCCAGCTCCCTCAGACACAAAAGCTGGCAGGTTTCTGGCCATCAAGCTCCTGACCCTGGCTGCAGAGCTTCTGCCATGTGTCCCATCCCACCCTGAGCGCCCCAGGGAGGCCTGAACCCAAGGGGTGAGGTGGAAGTTGGGGACGGAAAGGTCAAGAGGTGCCAAGCCCACAGTACCTCAGGATGGTTAATGTGATATGGAGCCTGGAGCTTTTTCTGCAGCGCATTCCCACCTCTCGCCACGCGGCAGCAGATGGCACGTGTTAAATGGCCCTGGCTGTACAAGTAACCTGTGAAAACAGATGTGCAGGTGTTAGGAAACAGGGATAGCACAGATGGTGGATGGGTAAAGCCCTGGGAGTTACAGCCTGTCTCATCACAGTGTTTCTCAAGGCTCCAGAAAGCTCAAGGCCAGGTGGATCAGCAAGGGCTACATATACCCTGGGTGTGTGAGATGAAGATTTACAGCCTGCAACGTTTCTCCTTAAATACACAATCAGGGAATTTTTGTCTCACCCTCCCAGGTCACATGCACCTTCTAAACATCAAGAACCCTGGAAAAAACCCACTCCACCCACAGCGTAACATCCACAAAGTCCCTTCCCACTTCCCAGCAGCACAGCCCTGCCAAGGACAACACTTCAGTCTGTTCCTCCTGCAGTTGCCACAAACCAGCTCTCCCATCACTGGGGGGGAGGTTACTTGTGGCTGCAGCCTAAGGAGGGGGCAGCACATCCCCCCCAGCCCAGGCAGGACTGGGGGGTATCGTACCAAGCGTGACAGAGCTGAGATAAACAGGCTCTATGAAGTGTGAGAGCAAAGCCCCTTGCAGGCCCAGCACATTCCAGCGCAGCATTTTGTCGCTGCAGGACATGGTTCGCAGCCGCTCCCCGTGCTGGATCCCATCCCAGGTGGGCACAATGTCACTTGACTCCACAGGAATGGTGCCTTCCCCTGTACAAGGGAAAAATAAAGCTTTTCTGTAAAGAAACAGACACAAATACATCCAAACCCCACCAGCAACTGCACAGGGAACTCATCTTCTAGGCATGGGCATGAAGTGAGTGCTGGAGTCTGTCAGCAGGCTCTGGGAACACTTCAGCATCACAGGAAAAAAGGGAACTCAGTATTAATGACAGACAAGCACTTTTTCATGTGGCTGAAGCAGAATGAAACACTGCTTGAAAGGGAGGGCAGAGACACAGGCTTTGCAGCAAACTTCAGCTGCACTCTTGCTAGCCTGGTAGTCCCATAGGCAGAGTGGGGAAGGGACTCTCTCTAATGCACTCATCCCTTTTACCCACTTTGGTCCCTGAATGCTTCAAATCCCACAACAGCAGAGAGGGGTAAGGAAACCCTGCAGCTCCACAAAGGCTCAGCCAGCTGAACATGAGCCAGTGTGTGCCCAGGTGGCCAAGGATCAGCATCCAGGCTTGTATCAGCACTAGCGTGGCCAGTAAGACCAGGGCAGGGATTGTCCCCCTGTGCTGGGCACTGGGGAGGGGACACCTGGAATCCTGGGGGCAGGTCTGGGCCCCTCAGGACAAGAAGGACATGGAGGGGCTGAAGCGTGTCCAGGGAAGGGCAACGGGGCTGGGGAAGGGGCTGGAGCACAAGTGTGAGCAGGAGCAGCTGAGGGAGCTGGGGGTGTCCAGCCTGGAGAGCAGGAGCTGAGGGGAGACCTTCTGGCTCTGCAGCTGCTGAGAGGAGGTTGGAGCCAGGGGGGTCGGGCTCTGCTCCCCAGGAACAAAGGATGGGACAAGAGGAAAGGGCCTCAAGTTGCCCAGGGGAGGCTGAGGTTGGATCCTGGGAACAATTCCTTCCTGGGAAGGGTTGTCAGGCCCTGGCCCAGGCTGCCCAGGGCAGGGGTGGAGTCCCCATCCCTGGAGGGGTTTCCAAGATGTGGTACTGAGGGACCTGGGGCAGTGGGGACTGGGCAGGGGTGGAGGAACAGTGGGACTCGATGATCTTAGAGGTCTTCTCCAACACAAAACCATTCCGTGATTCTATGACTAGAGCCACCCCAGTGTGCAGGGACTGAACACACTCACCATTCTCCACCTTGGTCCGTAGTTTGCCTTGTTTGGGGCTCTCAAAGAGGGGCTGATGTTTGGTCTGTCCCATCACACTGGCCTGGTCACTGCAGGACTTATCGAAGAGCGCCCCATCCCCACAAGGTGCTGTGCTAGAAAAACAACACTCCCCAGGTTAGCACAGCAAACAGGCAGGGCCAGGGCTGTGACAGTGACAATGTGACAGTGCTACCCACAAGCTGCCCCCCTGCATGACCCCACACAAACCTGATGTAGAGGTGAAATGTAACACTGCTCTTTATTTTTAGTCTGTTCCCTCCTGCCGGCTCAAAAATACTCTGTTCTGAAGAAGAAGGGTTGGATGGGTCATACTTCATCAACTCACTGTAGAGAAACCTGGAAAGAACAATTTCATGTCAAAAGGCTTTGATCTTCAGACAGGGAGCACTTCAGAGAATCATGGAATCATCCAACCTGCCCTTGAACAGCCACAGCTTCTCTGGGCAACCTGGGCCAGGGTCTCACCACCCTCACAGCCAAGAATTTCTTCCCCAGATATCATCTCCACCTTCTCTCTTCCAGTTTTATCCCATCCCTCCCTGCCCTTGTCCCAAGTCCCTCCTCAGCTTTCCTGGAGCCCCTTCAGGCACTGGAAGCTGCTCTAAGGTCTCCCTGGAGCCTTCTCCTCTCCAGGCTCAACACCTCAACTCTCCCAGCCTGGCTCCAGAGCTGCTCCAGCCCTCCCAGCATCTCCGGGGCCTCCTCTGGACTCTTTCCAACAGCTCCATGTCCTCCCTGTGTTGGGGACCCCAGAGCTGTTCCCAGCCCTGCAGGGGGTCTCAGCAGAGCAGAGCAGAGGGGACAATCCCCTCCCTGGCCCTGCTGCTCACGCTGCTGGTGACAGCCCAGGACACGGGGGGTTTCTGGGCTCCAGCACGTGGTGCTGCCTCATGTTGAGCTTCTCCTGCCCCAACACCCCCAAGTCCTTCTCCTTGGCTGCTTCATTCATTCTCCACACAATCAACTTCAATCCAACCACTGCCCAAGCCTGGGACAAAGCAGGGTCCCAAGCTCTGCCTCTGTCACACCAAGTTTCCTACCACAGGGTAGACCAAAGACCAGGAGCTGCAGCTGAGAACCCCTGAGGGGCAGAAAACTGCATTAGATGCTACAGAAAAGGCCAGAAATGGAGCAGGTTTCTGTTGTACAGCTGACATGCAATAGAAAACAAGCATCATCTCATGATGAGCAGAGGGACGCAGTGCTGGGAGAGGAACAGGAGCTGGACTGGCTGCTCCTTGCACCTGATTCAAGCATGAAGAAGACTTCCTGGTTGTTAACCTGGTACCTCAAGTCAGCACTAAGTTTGCATTAAGACTGAACAGCCCCATAGGCTCTTGAACCTAAGGGGTATTAGTACAACCCATGATCTGTTTACAATGACTGAGGCTTCTCCAGATGCTTCTGTCTGGGGACAGAATCTTGAGGGAAAAATCTTGAGGTCTAACACAGCATTGAGGACGAAGGAGAAATCACAGCTTGATAGAGCCTGGTTTTGCAATGGGAGGTGGAGCTCACTGGTCTCTGACAGGCTCTGCTCTGCCACAGCAGCCAGGACTGTCAAGGTAAAGGCAGCAAGTGATGCTCCCCAGGGCTCAGCACAGGGGCCACTCCTGTTTAATAACTTCATCAGTGATCTGGAGGAATGGATTGAGTGCACCCTCAGTTTGCAGACGACACCAAGTTGGGTGGGAGTGTTGAACTGCTCAAGGGCAGGAAGGCTCTGCAGAGGGACCTAGACAGGCTGGGTCCACAGGTCAAGGCCAACTGTGTGAGGTTCAACCAGACCAAGTTGTGGGTCCTGCACTTGGGTCACACCAACCCCAGGCAACGCTCCAGGCTTGGGGAGGAGCAGCTAGAAAGTGCCCGTGAGAAAAGGACCTGGGGGTGTTGGTTGACAAGGGCTGAACATGAGCCAGAGAGTGCCCAGGTGGCCAAGGAGGCCACCAGCATCCTGGCTGGTGTCAGCCCTGGGGTGGCCACAGGAGCAGGGCAGGGACTGTCCCCCTGTGCTGGGCACTGGGGAGGGGACACCTGGAATCCTGGGGTCAGTTCTGGGCCCCTCAGGACAAGAAGGACATGGAGGGGCTGGAGCATGTCCAGGGAAGGGCAACGGGGCTGGGGAAGGGGCTGGAGCACAAGGGTGAGCAGGAGCAGCTGAGGGAGCTGGGGGTGTCCAGCCTGGAGAGCAGGAGGTGAGGGGAGACTTGCTGACTATGCAGCTGCCTGAGAGGAGGTTGGAGCCAGGGGGGTCAGGCTCTGCTCCCCAGGAACAGGGGATAGGACAAGAGGAAAGGGCCTCAAGTTGCCCAGGGGAGGTTGAGGTTGGATCTTGGGAACAATTCCTTCCTGGGAAGGGTTGTCAGGCCCTGGCCCAGGCTGCCCAGGGTGGAGTCCCCATCCCTGGAGGGGTTTCCAAGCCAGCCCTATTTCTAGATCCTGCTGCTCAATCCTGGCAGGACAGACACCAGCAAGGAGAGGCCAACATCACCTCACCTGTGTTGAATAGGAAAAAGTGCCACAAAACGTTTGTGAAGAGAAGAACAATTGTGCAGTCGAGTTGGGAATAATCCTTTCCAACTGACAGAGAAGGATTTCAGACTTATCAACACAGTGGATGTGTTTTCCTGAAGGAAAACATCCTGTTCCTGGCTTGCATCAGGAACAGTGTGATCAGCATCACCAGGAAGGTGATCCTGCCCCTTGGCCTTGGTGAGGCTCCACCTCGAGCACTGAGGGCACATTTGGGCACCACAGGATAGGAAGGACATGGAGGGGCTGAAGAGGGGGCAGAGAAGGGCAACCAGGCTGATGAGGGGTCTGGAGAACAGGTCTGATGAGGAGAGGCTGAGGGAGCTGGGGCTGTTCAGCCTGGAGAAGAGGAGGCTGAGGGGAGACCTCATTGCTCTCCACAACTACCTGAGAGGAGGTTGTGGTGAGGTGGGTGTTGGGCTCTTCTCCCTGGTGACCAGTGATGGGGTCAAGCTGCATCAGGGGAGGTTCAGGCTGGATATGAGGGAAAATCTCTTCCCAGAAGGAGTGGTGAGGCCTTGGAACAGGCTGCCCAGGGAGGTGGTGGAGGCACCATCCCTGGAGGTGTTCAAAAAAGGGCAGACATGATGTTTCATAAGATGGTTTAGTGGTTGGGGATTGTAGGGTGGATGGTTGGACTTGATGATCTTGAAGGTCTTTCCCAACCTGATTCTAAGGCTCCTGCACCCAGAGGCAGAGAGGCCAAAAGGGCCCAGCCTGGGACTGCCCAGCACCCCAGCTCAGCAGACTCTGCAAGATGCTTTATTTTAAGTCCATCAGATGCAGCCCTTGGGCTCTTGGCCAGTCTCCAGCTCAGTACTAATTTGGGCACCGTTCAGGCATGGCCCTTTCTTATCAGAAATAACTTCCCCCTATTAAACAACACATGGGTAAACAGTGGTGTTAGAGGATCAGAGGCCTCTCTCAACACAGCAAGGAACTGTGACAGCTCCACCCCTCTGGAAGCAGTCAGCACCTCCTGCCAGGCCCCTCTTTTTTGGGTTTCTCCTTGTCTTACCTCACAAAACCTCTTCGAGCAATGATTTCTGCATGACAGTCATTCACTGTCTCCCCCTTCAAGCTCAGCTCTTCTCCTTTCACACAACGATTGCCTGAAATTCAAAAAGAAAGGACAAGCCTCAGAGTCAACACAAAGCTTGACAGGGAGGGCTTCATCTTGCTTCAAGTTTGACTTCTTTGGGCTCCAAACAGCAGAAGCTACACCCTGATGATTAAATCATTACACTGATCCAAGTGGGTAGGAAAACAAAGAGTTGAAGAGCTACTTTAGGGGCAGCAGAGCTTTAAATATCAAGAGGTTTAAGGGTAGTGTCTGTTCCACAGTGCTTCCCAGCACAGCACTCCAGTGGAAGTGTGGCAGCTCACTGGGAAGGGATCTGAGGCCCATCCTGCTGAGAGGAGCTGGGCGATCTTGTGCTCCACGACCTGAGGAACCCAGGCTCTGCTGCACAGGTCAGTGTGCAGCAATGCAGGCAGAGCTGAACAGCGACGCAGCTGCGGGCACAGGGACTTTGTTCTCATCTATCCAGATCACTCATGACACCCTGGGAACACTTCTTGACCTCCCTGAAGGGCAGGATTCCCTGGTTGTAGCTGACAGGGAATCTACTGGGGAAGTGAGGGGTGGGAGAAGATTGCCCAGAGAGGTGGTTGAGTCACCATCCCTGGATGTGTTTAAGGATTGTTTGGATGTGGTTTTGGTGGACACGGTTTAGGGGAGAACTTTGTAGAGTAGGGATGATGGTTGGACTGGGTGATCCCAAGGGGCTTTTCCAACCTGAATGGTTCTGCTCATACCTGTTCCAAGGCTGACCACCACTCCCAGGCCAGCCTGGCCCCTCCGCATGACGATGGCAGCCAGGATCTTCCTGCCCAGCAGGCTGTGCTGGATGCGCGCGGTCAGGGTGTTGAAGCGCTGGTGGCTCAGCATGGCCAGCTGGTCGTGCAAGGTGCTGCCGCGCACCGGGAGCTGCAGCGGGGACACCGGGAGGTCAGAAGGGCTCAAGAATCGGAGAATCATAGAATGGTTTGGGTAGGAATGGACCTTAAAGCTCATCCAGTCCCACCCCCTGCATGGGCAGGGACACCTCCCACCAGCCCAGGCTGCTCCAAGCCCCATCCAACCTGCCCTTCAACACCCCCAGGGAT